GTGTGGAGGTGGGGGAAGAGAGAGCGAGAAAGCATACACAGCAGCCTGAATCAAACAGAGGAAGATTTGTCATTTATATAAATTTCCAGATTTTCTGTAGTAATGTAATCATCCCATTATACTTATGGTAGAAGAATGTTTGCAGAGTTATTTTTGAACAAAAGCTTCCAAGTAGTTAAATTGCATAAAACAGAATAGTGAAAGTCTTTAAACAGTGCTAGAAAGTGTTTCCAAAGGGTTCTGATTCTAGTCCCAATAAATAGCAAAGCTGCAAATAACAGGAGGAGTTACTTTTGAGTCTTTCAATTTTTGGTACATAAGTACTGCTTGACTTAGAGAGGTACATTTCTAGGAATTAGGTTGGTGACTTCAGTGGGTAAAGATCTGGGCCAGAATTGTGTTAGAATTATTTTTATAGGAGATGACAGTGTCTTTCCCATGGTACCTGCCATAGAGGTCACCTTATGAGATGTGTAAAGAATTAAGTGTTTTAATAAGTAATGGTCACCAGGAACCGTCCTGTTTTGGCCCCTCACCAGAAGACATTTCTACTCTAACAAGAAATAGATAAACTTGAGTCCACGAGCAAATTTTCATCCCAGTGGAATGTGAATATGGTATTTCCTCACTCATGCAAACAAATTTTAACATAAAAGAAGCTGAAACAACACACCACTCAGAGAAAACCTAAGTTGCTCAGCCTTTAATCTATTTAACATAAATAACTGCCATAACTGTGGTGAATAGGGCAGTTGATCAGAAGTCCCAGTAGGGAGGCTTGGCAGTCATGGTATGAAATCTATTCATCTTACATCCCACATCCCAAAAAATGGCAATATCTGTGCCTGATGTTCTGAGAAGTGCCAATACAGCATAACTCTGTTCAGTGGCCCATTTACATAGAGACTAGCTCTCTACTGAAGTGTAAAATACTGTTTTGGCATAGAACATAAAAATAAGTTGCATGCACTGGATCTGTACATCAGCCTTTAACATCCTTTCGGGGGCAGGCAGATGCAGTAGTTCAGCCATCAGGCAACCCTCAGGACATGTTCAGAGCTGCCTTCTGATTACCCAGGCACTTCAGTCTCCTCTCCAAAAAGCAGCAGGTGAACTCTGATTTATTCTCTGTACATGAGAAGAGGGTAAGTGCCGTATTACCCCAGTTAGAAGCTAGTAAACCCCATTTACCCATTATAGTACTGTGAACTCTTTCTCTCCCCTCTGAGCAGAGGAGCTGGACTTGAAGAGCCTTACAAAGAGGAAGAGTGAGCTTGTGGTTGTGTTGGGAGCAAGACTTTGTAGATTCAGTTTTAGTTCCTCTCCCGAGCTGTGGGTATGACGGTCTTGCTGTCCTGCCAGTCACCAGCCCTTTGTCCACACAACAGAGAGAGAATATTGCCTTACTCTGCGAGTCCTAGACACTTGTGACCACAAACTACGCATATTTAAGATGAGGTCCGGAGCTTAGCTGAGAGGTCAAGGTGTAACACAAACGATTTGCCTGTCTAGTATCCACGTGCAGCCAAGTGCTTGGAGTGAGAACAATGCTAAAAGCAGCAGACTGCAGCTCAGACCTTTAGAGGCTTGCTAGCTGCTACTACCCCTCTGCCCAGAGAGCCCTGGGAGTAGATGTCTCTCTGCTTCCCTCCCTCGGCCCCAGAAAGGACCTTTTTTGGCCCCTGTCACAGCAGGTGTGGGGTCAGCAACTCTCTGTGAAGCACAGCCTAGGAAGGCGGGGGAGCGGTACCAATCCACATGTGACTGCATAGCTGCAGGGTGGCCCAGGGGACATCGCCCACCATGTCCC